GGCTTCTTCAGCCCAGGAAGGGGGAAAATGAGGTCGGAGCATCTCTCCATCAGCCGGGCTGTCCCGCACCCACCGGGGTAAGTGCCTCTCGCCTCTTGTCGCCTTCTTCCCCGGCGCGCGCGGGCAGGTTTTGGGGGACTGGAGGGGTGTGTGATCTCTGGGTGTGTGCATGTATGTGCTCTATGTGTGTATGTGCTCCCTCTGTGTGCTCTGTGTGTGCATGTGCTCTCTGTGTGTGTTCTGTATACGAATGTGTTCTGTCTGTGTGTGTGCTCTCTCCACGTGCATGTGCGTGTGCTCTGTGTGCATGTGCTCTCTGTTTGTCCTCTGTACGTGCATGTGTTCTGTCTGTGTTTGTGTGTGCGTGCGTGTGTTCTCTCTGTGTCTATGTGCTCTCTCTGTGTGAGTTCTCTGTGTGCTGTGTGTGTTATGTGTGTATATGCTCCCTGTGTAAGTGCTCTGTGTGTATAATCTATGTGCTCTCTCAGTGTGTGTGCATGTGTGTGAATATGTCCTCTGTGGGTGTATGTGCTCTGTATGTGTGTGCGTGCGGGGGGGAGGTTATATTCTCAGGGTACATCTCTAGGAACCGAGCAGATGCACCGGCTTCTGCAATTTTATCTCTTGTCACGATGGGGGGAGGAAAAGCAAAGATCCCCCCAGCCAAGGTGAAATCAGCCCAGCCGAGCTGCCTCTCTCTAACCAAGCCCCTCCGGGACAGCAAAAGGGCTAGGAGACTCGTCTCCCATCACTGCCACCCCACCCGCTTCCTCCCCAGATTTGCTTTTAAAGGTCGGATGATAATTTAATACCTTTTACAAGAAAGATAGATACCCATCGGGTTTCCAACACACGCACAAAAAAAAAAAAATCCCTCTTATTTGCAAGCAATCGTTACTAGCCGTCAGGGCGCCTGACACGTTTGTGATACCACCAACAGGGATTCAGCAGCCAGATCTTCCTCGTCTGCCCCCCTCCAGCTCCCTTTGCTAACCCGGGAAGCACTTGGCAGCGTGCTGCAAAGCCAGCGGCACGTCTGCCCCCCCCGGCCCGGGCAACAGCTGCACGTGGGACCGAGCCCCACGGGCGGGCGTGGGGAGGGCGCGGGGCGCCTGGCCTTGCAACGCAGCGGACTTTAAAGGAAGAGATGAAGCGTGGATGAAGCCGATGCTCCAGTGGGGAGGCTGCTACTGCTGTTTCCCAGCCAAGCTGCCCCCTCCTCCCCCACTTACGGTGCTAGACAGAAGGCAAACTCCTTGCCACCTAGGA